TCGTGTCCGATATCAAGGCACACAGTAAAAGCTGTAATGATGGAAGAACAAGACGAATTAGTGGTAGTAAGATGTGGACTGGAAGTTTTCCAGTTAGCGCCTAATACAAACACCAAACGCCTCACGCTGCGCCTCAAGAAATGATCACTAGATACCATCCTAGCACCTAACTATTGGAAAAAATACGACTGCTGGGTGGAATTGTAATCCCTTCAGCACGAGAGGTTGGGGTGAAGTCATAGAAAATCAGGGAAAGACCAGCAGGGATAAATGGCGAAATACATAACCTAACCAAACCCGTTAGAAGCATGTTGACCATGTTTGTTTCACCTTTAATAAACAGTGCCTGACGCTTCAGAAAGTAAGCTTTGATTTCTGTATTGAATTCGCAAATGATGTATAGAATATTCTGAGAAATATTACTTACCGATTTGTCAAAAGGATGCAAAGGCTACGGACTCCGGAAAAAGGGAAAGCCAACGGCCTTTTTAATTGCTATCAGGCATTAGCAGCTACCAACATCTGAATAACGGACATCATAGACCTGCTGCCCCACCCACTGAAACCAACTGATCGGGCAACGGTGTAACGTTTTCTGCTAGAATGACCATGCACTCGCTTGGAGGTTGCTATGTTAAAGTAAACATCATTTAATTTTTTTATTAAGAATTTTCACGAGCGGCATGAGAGAAACTCCCTAGCGCCTAAACGGTAAAAGATAGAGCAAAACGGACGAAATTTTCGCCCGTAAGACTCTACTTTGACGAGTTACCCCTTGGGAGCTCATAAAAAAAATATTTTTTTCTGACTTTTTTGACCTACCCCTTTTTCTTTAATACCCCTTTTCAGCCCCTTAGGGGTGATTGCCAGGATTTGCCGTAGGCGTTTCGTTTTCTAGGAGGGAACCTTAAGATACCCTGAAAATTTGAACTCTCTAGCACATCTCCTTCTAGTGGAACAGACAGACAGACAGACAGACAGACAGACAGACAGACAGACACACAGACAGACAGACAGACACGAGGTCGTTTGCATAAGCCCGCTGGATAGCTTTTTCAAAGCAGAAGGGCGGGCTAAAAACTGATTTTTGTAACATGGAATAGAGATATGATACTGAAAACTCTACGATAATTTTTAAGTTACACATACATGATTCAGACGAACTGTATTTAAAACCCAGATCTGGGCGCAGCCTAAATTAAGAGGAACTACAAATGTTCCGTCAGAGAAAACTTTCACCACATTTCGCTCCATGTACCTGAGCATACGCCAAAAGAAAAAAAGGATAGCTCTTGTTCTCTGGGCTGTCTGGCCCACAACAGCAGCAAAAAGGTTGTCAGCACTACTAAGCGTTTCTGTGATATCTGCAAACTGTGGGTTTTGTAGGATAGTGCCCAAATCGGTAAGAGAATGTGGAAGATTTGGCCTGCCCTCCATTCGAGCAGCTTGCATGGCTGGTCGTATCGTCACAAACGGCACAGCCCCAGCTGCTTCATCAGGAATTCTGAAAAAAAAAAACACAAGAATATGAATTATGTGAACACGGGAAAGTAAGCAAGAACAGGGGTGTTCAGACTCAAACAGGCCCAAGCCAAGAGACATATCTAAGCAGGTACCTCAGTGTCCTCCTCTCCTCATGGTAAATGTCAATAAAGTTGGCGGGGTCGCCTCCTCGACACCTGCCCAGAATTCCCCGTCTGAACCGCCGCTCATGGATAACAAAAAGATCTGGTGGGTGGATGTGACGTGTACTTCTGCGAAAGTCGCCATCTGGAGAATTGGGGTCGATGCTTGCCGATCCATTGCAGTGCAGTACGTCGTGTCGTATGCAACGCATATACAACCTCCCACCTTTCATTAACTTGTTGGCATGGTAAGAATACCCATCTGGGCCATGGATTAGGCTGGTTCCACGACGCATCCCACCCTGCACTTGTAGTGCCATGTTGACGAAACACGCACACAAGCCCAAATGCCAAAATGATCAAAGTGCTCTCACAATGCCGCGTTCTTCTCAACATGATCCATCCAAAACTTGTTTTGAAACTTTTGTATGACAAGTTTTTGTGACCATCGACAGTGTTTTCATGAAGCACGGCAACATTGAATAGGATTGTGGCAACCTATCAAATGTACATCATAACTTTAAAGATCAAATATTTACTGGGAAAATGTGAAATAAAGTAGCTCTAAGCCCTATTTAATTTCGTTGTTCGACATAATTAAAAGCACTTTATCTTACCTCCTGTAGATTTTTGGTTTATGCCTTTTTTTTTCTTATGGGTTGTCACTAAAATTGCACTGTCTTGAGTACGTTCAGCACATCCTCTATTTCCGTTTCCGCCTCACATTTCACAGCGTCGCATCGTCGAGTCTTGATCTGCTAGTGCAAGTCCGAGTTGTCCGCGTGATAGACTAAATTTTCTACCAAAAAGTAAGTAAAACCGTGCTCTGCTGTCAGATATCTTGGTCCCGGTTAGTTTCCAGGCGTTTTCGACAACAGACCGACAAAAATTAATCTCTTAAAGGGACAATGGGTATTGGTGGCACAAGAGCGTCAAATGCAGCACCTCCAAAATCATATTTTATATCTCATAGCAGCAAGATATGACTGTTTCATCGATTCAATATCGACGCCGCCAAAAGTAGATAACTTCGAAATGAAATTGGAAAATTATGGCGTTGATAGTATTTTTCTCTCACAACAAACCCTGTCTGCCCTTGGCACGACGCCATTTTTTGAAATCGAGGGGGAGGTGGGCCTACGACGCCGAGAAAATCTTTGTGTCTGACCAAATACATACGTGTACATATTTATCTTTATTTCGTTTCGGTCAGCCCTAGTTCATTAATTTCTTTAGCTTCGCCCGCGCCCATTTCCGTCATTGGATTGTAGCCCCACACCCCCCACACCCCTTGCCCCCGGCTACAAGAGGTGTTCACAGGCTTTAAGAGACCTGTTAAGATCATTTACAGACGCTTCACAGAAAGAAGATGGCTGAAATTTACCCTAGAGATTGCTCTTCCGTCTTTCTTGGTGTCTCGTTTGTTGTTATTTTTAAAGGGACTGTCCCATCTGTTCCAGCCATGTTCTCTGCTAACATGAATCCGGCCGAAGTGCAAGCTTTGATGGGCCTGCAGGCCCAACAGCAAGATGGGGTGATTCCATCAACTCTCCAAGTAAGTTCGGTAAAGAGGCAATCCCATTTCTGTCACACAATGTTTACCCTATCAGTGTCATTATTTTCATATATCTCATTTAATTTCTGCCTTGAAAGTACTATCTTCATTACAAACTTTCCTCTTTTACCAGATGTTAAATTCTATGCAGTTGACGAATGGAATGCCTGCAATGTTACCGGCAAGTACAGGACATCTTTTCTTCATTGAAGTTAAATTTATACTCTAATTACCCTGCGAGAAGCATTCCTTGTTTGGTCAGAATTTCTGAAAATCTAGAAATTTTGAAGTAGTGTTTTTACTGGGGCCTTTTGTGTAGCCATCATTCATTTTGATAAATCATACTGGTAGCTTTGATGGTTTTCATGTCACTAAATTAACTTTAATCTGTTTTATTTTCTATCTCATGTATCTATTCTCTTTTCACTTTTCTGTATTATTTATTGTCCGTTTCAGTAACTACCCAAAGTAAGTGATCTTTTTTTCCTTCTAGATAAATACTGGATTTCCAGTAGGGTGGAGTGAAAATCTGGGACCGAAAAAGTACACCTGGATTATAGTACTCCAAGATATCCTAAGACTAGCGGCAGAGTCCATTTTGACCCATCGGCTGACCTTCAACCCCTCTCGAGGGGTCAAAGTTAGGTCTTTGAGGGAAATTGACACCTTTTGCTCCGCTGGGCCCCCCCCCTAGGCATAATCCCGCAAACGGCTATATGCGGTTCGGTGCGGAACTTATATAGGAAGATACACCAGGAGTCGATACGCTGTGCGATAACATCTCCAGCTCGCCCCAGAGACATTTATGGTGAAAACGGGAGTTTTTTCGATGCGAAAAACGACGTTTTTCGGTTATATCTCGGAAAATAATGGTCTCAGCGAAAAGAGTCCAGAATGAAACCGTTTTGTCTCGTCAAAACGCATCTAGAGATGTATGGGACGACCGGATGTGGCGTACGAAAACCGGGAGTGCTAGCAATACCTTGGTAAGGAAATCACCATTTTTCACCTTTAATGTGTCTGTGGCGAGCTGAAGATGTTATCGCACAGCGTATCGACACCTGGTGTATCTTCCCATATAAGTTCCGCACCGAACC